AGGGGCAATAGTAAAAAAGATTTGCTTTCAGAATCTTGCTTCACGAGTGGCAGTGGAAAAAGGAGCAATGCAGCCCCAGAGCGAGTCCTCCTCCCCCAGCTACCACACCATACTCTGCCCTTCTGGCTGTGTCATGCTTGGCATAATCTTATTCCTGTGCAAACAGCCCCTAAGAGAAGTGAGCTCTTGTGATTTACAGCAGCTGTGGTGCAGGCACCCACTCCCAGGGGCTCAGTGGCCCCGCACTGGGTGCAATGTCCCTATGCCCAGGAATATAACCTCCTGCTCAAATCCAGCACCAAAGGAGAGAAGGATGGCTGAGGAGGTAAAAATATTGAGAAGAGCTCATAGTGAACCCTTAGTTGTCTGTGCAGGGTGGAGAAGGGAGTAAAGGGTCAGGGCTCCCAGTGGATGAGCGAGCACCATAACACCCCGAGGATCTGCACAGGGACTCTACTTCTCCATGCAGTCACTTATGGTCTGAAAAAAAGAGGCAATGGTGAAGGGATGAGCTTCAGGATAGGGGATGTGAGTGACTAGCAAAAGCCTGCAGAAGGCTCTGGCGGGACTGTGACTAGGTGAGAAAGTGAAAGTCAAGCACAGTGGCAAGAAGCAATCCCCAGGTTAACACAGAGAAGCTGACCCTGAGCTGCAACTCCCTTCTACAGGTCCCCAGGGATCCTGGGAGACTACAAGGCTGCACAGAGAAAGAAGATGAGAGAAAAACACCCCAAACCTTAAACACAAACTTTTCCTTCCGCTTACTTCAGCCTGAGTTCAGCCTCCTGCTCTGTCCTGAAATCAAGCTCAACCATCCTCCTCTGCAAGGGAGCAACTCAGCTGCTCCTTTCTCATTTCACTCCACAGTTCCAAATTATAAACAGGGATTTTTTATGGCTAACCTGTTTTCCTCTTTATAGGAACAATCCAGAATGTGATGTAATTTCTGCCAGGATTTGACATCCTCCAGCTTTCCAGACACAAAGGGTTGGAGGAGGAAGAGGTTACCATGTTTTTGCTCCACTGGGATTTCACAAGTGAACCAATTGAGCCAGTCATTCACTCTCTCCAGCATATTTATTTTTGCTTGCAGGCTGAACAGCTTGTGCTGAGAGCATGGCATTCCCTGTTTTATCAGGCATTCCCTGTTTTATCACTCACTGCACATCCATTCTCTGTGGTTTTGGCAGCCCTTGAATTCATGCTTCCTTGCAGGAGGAGGATTTCACTTCCCCTATGAACTCTGCAGCTTCCCACTGACTGGTCACAATTTGCAGAGAAAGCAGAAGTGGCTGAAGACTGTTTGTCCTGTCTTTCTAGGGATTATCTCTGTCCATAGCCCTGAAGATCCCACATGTGACACGGAAACCCCCTCAGCTTTCACTTGAATTTGGTAGAAATTCTCTGGAAAGCAGCTAATCTGCGGAAGAAGTAGAGGGGATAAATTGCAGGGCCTCCCTGCCTGAGCTGACGTTCGAGCTCCTCAGGAGAGGCAGATCACCACCGTGCTGAGGAAGACTCCTTACACAGCCACCATGCTCAGCATGAGGATAGTCCTGGTGCTCATGCTGCTCCTCACCCTCTCCCCGCACTGCACAGCAGGTAAGGTGTTTTGCCTGCTGCTGGCAGGCTGCTCTCGCTGGCTCCTACTATGGACTGGGGCCATGAGCACTGCAGGGCTGCTGCTGGGTTTGTCCCATCAAGGAGGTCAGGCAAGACACCCGAGTGGAGAGTGGGGATGGTGCCACTGGGCAGGAGGAGCAACTCCAGAGGTCTCCTGGTAGGCACTGGGCTGAATGTCCTTGGAGGGCAAGGAAGGAGGGAGACAGTGTCCTGGACCAGATGGCCTCGGCAAAGCTGGCTCCAGGGCCGGCAGGCACTGGGGGCAACTTGCTGCCTCTTTGGACATTGGGGTTCCTCCTCTTGCCCCAGAGAGGAGATCCCATGGGGCTCTTTAAAGTAGAGGCTGCAAAATCTGAAGGACTGTGTTTCAGCCATGCTATGGGGGAAGGTCTTAAAGATTACTTTGAAAAGCAGTGTTCATGCACTCTCTCTCTCTCTCTCTCTCTTTCAGCCCCTTACACACCTACAGAATGCTGCTTCAGATATATAAAACATACTCTCCGATCTGCTAATCTGAAGGATTGCTATGAGACCCCCAAGGAGTGTTTCTTTCCAGCAGTTGTGTAAGTCCTGATAATTTCCCTACCACTGTGTTGTCTCCTGGGACACCACGGGGGCTTTCGCACATCCCATCTAGTGACAGGGACATAGTGACACCTGAGGGACCAGGATGCAACTGTGTGGCCTCCTCTGGAGTGACCGCAGCTGGGTAGCTGTCCTGTAGCATGAGCAGAGGAGGATGTTACTGTCCAGCTGCTTCTACAGGACCAGGGAAGGTCTGACCCAAGTCTGCTGTGGCTCCCAAAGGGATGGAGGCCTTGGGCCATGGGTTGAGCTGCTCATGAAGACACCAAATACCCAGAGCACCTTGCAGACCCAAAGGCAAGGGAAAGGGAGTGCAAGGAAGGGAAGGCAGAGGGCTCATGAGTGGGATTGTAGCTGCTATTTCTCATTCAGTTTTCCTCTTAATCTTGGCAGGTTTGAGACTAAGAATGGGAACAAGCTCTGTGCAGACCCGAACCTGCCCTGGGTGGTGAAAGCAGCTGAGAAACTTCAAAAACAGAAGAGTGCTCGTGCTCCGTGATCTACAGCAGACACCGCAGTTTAGGCTACCCATCTTTCTGGTGGAAAGATTTGTATACTCAACCTCCTGGAAAGGGACTGCAGCAAGTCCTTGATGCTGAGGGACGGCACTGGCCTACCAGAGACCTGTCCCACGCCAGCCAGCCAGGTATCAGCTCCTAGGGTGCCCATGCTCTGCCAGAACACACCCATGGAGTGCAGCAATGAAATAAAGGTTTATTTCACACAGCACTGAGGTAGGCGTTCCTTTCTTCTCCTAGCCCCAATGGCCACACTGCCAAGCAGGGGCACAGAGACAGCTGTGCTGGAGGCTGAGGGGCAGGTGGGACAGGGGCTATTCCCACAGCCCCCCAAAGTCTTTGCAGGGTCTTACTGCAACAGCGATCAAGCCATGGCTGGGGCGGGAAATGGGATGGCAGGACAGTGGCTCCCTCAGCTCCTCACAGGTACTCCCAAGCAGCTGAATGCAGGGAGCCCTTCCTGGTTAAGAGCCTCATTGAGCCTCTTAGGACTTTCAGATAAGTCCCATGCACTAATTAGATTTATTAAGAACTACTACCACTTCTGATGGGACTGCGGTCAGGATTAATTAGCTAAAAAAAAACAAGGGGTGAATGTTTGTCTCATGCAAACTGTAAAAGGGAGATCAGAGTTTGGCCTGTCAGGTTATTTGGGGGCGGGGAGGAGGGTAGACTGGAAAAAAACATTAGCTTAATTATCCCTGATGAAGATACCCTCAGATGTAGCCCCTGGCTTTCACCCCATCTCTAAGAGGTAAGAGTGATCCTAGTGGCTTGTTCAGCAAGTGCCCTCTTAGGGCCCTCTTCTGACAGCAGTGCAGCACCCCTCCCCCCCCATGCCCCAGCCTTACAAAAGACATTGGAAATCGCATCTTGCAGGTCTTGCAAGGGCAACGTCCTCAGAGCCTACTTCCTGAAGGGGCCACTACACAGAGACACTGCACGGTGCACACC